CTCATTCCCTCATTCCCTCATTCCCTCATTCCCTCATTCCCTCATTCCCTCATTCCCTCATTCCCTCATTCCCTCATTCCCTCATTCCCTCATTCCCACCCTAACCCTAAACCCTAAACTCCAAACCCTAAACCCTAAACCCTCAACCCTACCAAGTACCAGCCAGAAGAAGAGTCCAGCGGCAGGTGCGCCGGCGGTTGGAAGATCCAGCTGCTGGGGCCTTGCAACTTTCACAGGAGGGGGGTTTACGGGGTTCGTAAGTGCTTAGAGGGGTTTAAACCCTAAACCCGAAACCCGAAACCCGAAACCCGAAACCCGAAACCTTAGGGCTTAGGGTTTAGGGGTTAGGCCTTCGGGGTTCGCACGGGCTGCTGTTTCAGTATTCAAGTGGCTTTGTACTTAGAGATCTCGACTTTGTAGCGCTTAGAGATCTCGACTTTGTGGCTTTCTGGGCTCGCGGCATGAAGCGTTGATAGGGGCTTACATGGGCTCCAATGATTCAGGGGTGGAGTTTTGGTAGGGTTGAGGGTTTGGAGTTTAGGGTTTAGGGTTTAGGGTTTAGGGTTCAGGGTTCAGGGTTCAGGGTTCAGGGTTGAGGGTTGAGGGTTTAGGGTTGAGGGTTGAAAGTTGAGGGTTGAGGGTTGAGGGTTGAGGGTTGAGGGTTGAGGGTTGAGGGTTGAGGGTTGAGGGTTGAGGGTTGAGGGTTGAGGGTTTAGGGTTGAGGGTTGAGGGTTTAGGGTTTAGGGTTTCGGGGGTTTAGGGTTTAGGGTTTAGGGTTTAGGGTTTAGAGCCCATAGAGGTTGCGGGGTGTGAGGTGTCGAATCTTGGGCTGTGGCCTGTGTAGCGGTAGCGGAAGCAGAGCGTGCCCACTTCGGGCAGCGCCCTGAAGACCCAGCCTGTCACGGAGAAGGCTCAGGGTTTCGGGTTTAGGGTTTAGGGTTAGGGTTTAGGGTTTCGGGTTTAGGGTTTCAGGTTTAGGGTTTAGGGTTTAGGGTTTAGGGTTTAGGGTTTAGGGTTTAGGGTTTAGGGTTTAGGGTTTAGGGTTTAGGGTTTAGGGTTTAGGGTCACAGATCTTGCCTCAGCCCTTAACCCTAAACCCTAACAGCGAAAGCCCATACAAACCCTGAGGCATTTAGGGTAGCTTCATGGTCCCTTAGTATAGTATGGCCCTTAACTGGGGACCTTAAATACCCCTGAGACAAAACCCTAAACCCTAAACCAGCAAAAATAATTTTATCCTAAACCCTACAAACCCAACGGCCCATACTTCGGAACCCTTCAAAGAAGGCAAGGGAACATGGGAAGGGAACCATGCAACTACCTTAAAGAGCCCGACCCCACCCCCGAACCCCAAATCAGAACGAACAAGGGTTTATATACTAGGCTTACAGGGTTCACATGCTTTTACAGGCCCTTACAGGGCTTGCAAGGCTTACAGGGTTCACAGGGTTCATAGAAAACTGACAGGGCTTACAGGGTTTACAAGACCTACAGGGTTTACAGGACTTGCAGGGTTTGCCTCGACAGTTGCCTCGACCATCCGCTAGCTGCAAGAACTCCAAGGGCTCTGCGTCCTGGCCCGCTGGCGCGTCTTACATGTGTCGAAGATGCTGACGACTGGGAGCCCCAGCAACGTGGGAACAAAAAGGGCTCCCTCCTGAACAAACAGGCAGCTTTACAAGGGAGGTTCCTCAAACCGTGGGGCCCTTCTTTTGGGGGAACGATGATGGTTTGGGTTTCCTTTGCGGAGGACAAAATCTGAGGGTAGCTACATGCTCCCTTAGTACGGGCCCGGGAACCCTTATATACCCCTTATATGCCCTATAAAAGCCTTTAAAGAAGCTGGGTTGGCCTGTAAACCCTTTGAAAAATCATCCAATATAGGGCCCCTTATAAACCCAAATAAGGAAAATATAAAAATATCCCAAAAGCCAACCTAGGAAGGTAAGGGGCCATATGAAGGGACCACGTAACTTCCCTGCAAAATAAAGCCCATGTAAGGAACCTAGGACTCCCCCAAGCACTACACTCCTCTCAGAACCTTAATAAAAACAATGTATTTAACATCCTCTTGGGTTTTGTATAAACAAAAAAACCCAAGGGGATATGGAGAAGGGACAAAGGGGTGCCGTTCTTGCTTGGGGTTCAGGGGTCTACACTGCGTCTACACCCATGAAACAGCAATGAGCACCACCCGGTGACCTCACCACCCAAAACCCAAAACCCAAAACCCAAAACCCAAAACCCTAAACCCTAAACCCTAAACCCCAAGCCACCCTAAACCGGCCGTCATATCCTCCGCATCCGCCGGCACCGAGACGGCGCTGGCCTCGAAGATCTCCCCCGGCTGCAGCTCCGCCCCTGGGAGAGGTTTCGGGTTTAGGGTTCAGGGCTTTAAGGTGTTGGTTTTCGGGTTTGAGGTTAGGGCTTGAAGTAGAGGGTTGAGAAGAGTAAGAGTGTAGTATATAAGACTTCAGAAGCTTCTAAGGGAGGGTCGCGGCTGGTTCTAGGGTTTAGGGTCTAGGGTTTAGCGTTTGGGGTTTTGGGGTTTTGGGGTTGAGAGTGCTGGGGCTTTGGGTTGTAGGGTTCTAGGGTCGAGTGAGGGTTCGAGGGTCTAGTGATACTGCCCCATTTGGTTTGCGGGTTTGGGAAATCCCCCCAGCCGCTGTGGGCCTCAAGGCCCTGACACCAGCCTGCCAGTGTCTCACACACCCCTTAGTCTGGGCCCTCAATTTTGGAAACCTCATATGAACCCTAAACCCTAAACCCTGAACCCTAAACCCTGAACCTTAAACCCTAAACCTTCAGGTTTAGGCTTGGGTCGACCCTCGAAGCCACAATGTTGATCCTTTTGGCATGGGGTTGTGGTTTGATTTCCTGGTGCTGCAAGAACTCCTGGGATTCCAGTGGCCCCGCACCCTAAACCCTAAACCCTAACCCCTAAACCCTAAACCCTAAACCCTAACCCCTAAACCCTAAACCCTAAACGCTAAACCCTTAACCCTAAACCCCGGCCTGTTCGCTCCGCGTCCACGCGTGGGCCGGATCGTATGGCCAGGCGCCGCTGCTCCGGCGGCTGGTATCTCCTACAGCGAGTCCGGGGCTTTTGAAGTTTAGGGCGTCTTGGATTCCGGGTTTCTTGAAGGGTTTAGGGTTTAGGGTTTAGGTTTAGGGTTAAGGGTTTAGGGGTTTAGGGGGTTTAGGGTTTAGGGGGTGTAGGGTTTCGGGGGTTTAGGGTTTCGGGGGTTTAGGGTTTAGGGGGTTTAGGGTTTAGGGGGTTTAGGGTTGAGGGGGTTTAGGGTTTAGGGTTCGTGGTTCAGGGTTTAGGCTACGAGTACTTGTGTTTACCCCAGCCCGAGATGCTCCAAGCATTTCCTCTGGAATAAGCTGATAACGAGGAAAATTCCAGGGAGCATGTAACTGCCCTTAGACAACGAAAAAAAATCCTAACCCCCTACAGACCCTCACAAGGCCCAGCTGAGCGGCCACAACTCCGGCAGGGCCAGCGCCGGCAGCCGGCCCAGGCAGCCGGCCACCACCACCAGCAGCGCCCAAGCGCCCGCGCTCGCGCCCCGCGCGCTCGCGCCCCGCGCGCGGCATCTCTGCATAGCCCAGGGAGTCTGAAGCTGCTTAGAGGGTGAGATGGGGGTAGAGGCTGGGTAAAGGGCTGTAAGGGTTTTGAGGGTTCTTGGGTGGTTCCTGAGAGGGTTTCATCACAGGGATCAGGGTTTTTAGGGGCAGGGGTTCAAGCTTTCAGGGCTCTTGGTGTGAGGTGGGAAGGCTTGCAAGGCTTTAGGACTCAAGATTTGGGCTGAAGATGTTTGGGTCTTTCGGGTGTGTGCGCGCTGCAGTCCTGGCGCTGCCTTGTGGGATCAAGCATGGGAGACCTGCACGACGACCCCTTCCGAAGCCCGGTACAGTGCTGCGTGGGAGAGCACATACTGGGTTTAGGGTTTAGGGTTTAGGGTTTGGGGTTTTGGGTTTAGGGTTTTGGGTTTAGGGTTTTGGGTTTTGGGTTTTGGGTTTAGGGTTTTGGGTTTTGGGTTTTGGGTTGAGGGTTGAAAGTTGAGGGTTGAGGGTTGAGGGTTGAGGGTGTAGGGTTTAGGGTTTAGGGTTTGGGGTTTAGGGTTTAGGGTTTAGGGTTTAGGGTTTAGGGTTTAGGGTTTAGGGTTTAGGGTTTAGGGTTGAGGGTTGAGGGTTGAGGGTTGAGGGTTGAGGGTTGAGGGTTGAGGGTTGAGGGTTGAGGGTTGAGGGTTGAGGGTTGAGGGTTGAGGGTTGAGGGTTGAGGGTTGAGGGTTGAGGGTTGAGGGTTGAGGGTTGAGGGTTGAGGGTTGAGGGTTGAGGGTTGAGGGATTCGTGGCGAACTTCGCTACGGATACATTTTGGCCTTTTTCTGATGTCGTGGCTCAGGTGTCGGGTATTGTTCCTTACACTGAACCCTACGAATCGAGCACCAGAAATCAACCGCGCAACCAACAAACACTGAAGTCCTTCCTTGCATCGCCTTGCAGGCATGCGGAACCTTCCCTAAACCCTAAACCCAAAACCCGAAACCCGAAACCCGAAACCCTAAACCCTAAACCCTCTTCGACGAGCTGAACCGCTGCGATGTTTTAAGAACAAACCTAGGAGCCCACCCCCGGGCCCAAGAAAACACAGGCCAAGCCTGAACAAAGCACCTGAATTCCTGAGGGACCATGACTTCGTACGACCATGACTTCGTACGGGCCTTTAAATAAGGGACCTCTGATATACCCCATTATCGAATGAGTGACGCATGAAACGCCAGTGACCAAGACGGCTTTAAGACACACGCTTAGGATCTGCAGCGGACACCTGCACCGTTCTTCCAGACTTCTCTCTGGAGGTCACGTGCCCCCCCACCCAAAGCTTCAAACCCCAACGAGCCCTGCACACACACCTGACAAGAGCCAGTATTTTCGCGGCTCTCGGCTCCGTCTGCTGCAAGCAGAAGACCTGCACAGAATCTCCTTCGCGCGCTACTTGGGAAGAGAAGCTGGGCACACCTCGGGGCATCTCGAAGAGGGCATCCCTTTGCTTCCTTGAAGATTCTCAGTGAGGTCAGCAGAAGGCGACTGTCGCCACAGGCCGAGCCCAAGGATGAGAAAGCACGGTGGATGACCATCTGGTTCACATTCTCCCCTGTTGCATGGAGACGGGTACTCCTCATTGCTCCTCTCACAGAGCAAAAAGGGATTGCAGGAAGGCCGCTTATTGGTGGGCGCGACGGACGCGACCTCCGTGAGAAGAATGAACCCGCAGGGGCCTTCCACCATGTGAGCTTCATCCATCCAGCGCCCAAGCTCTTATGGGCCGCAACCCGAACCGCAGCGAGACCTGCCAGAATGAGACAGCTCTCACAGAGCACTGTCGAAGAGCGTCTCCCTCGCCTTGTCGTTCACAGATCTGAAAACTGGCTCCAGCTGGGCTGAGAGCGATGTTGCGTGTCCCCTGCGATTCCGGAGCTCCTCTTCCAGAGGCCCGAACTCTCAAGGCGCACTGTGGGCAATGGAGTCCTCCACGAGAAGCCGGGCGTCCTGGAGGATTTTCCAGCGTCGGGGTCGAGAACTACTGGAAGCTTTAGGCTTTAGGGTTTAGGGTTTAGGGTTTAGGGTTTAGGGTTTAGGGTTTAGGGTTTAGGGTTTAGGGTTTAGGGTTTAGGGTTTAGGGTTTAGGGTTTAGGGCTTGGCGTCATACTGGTGAACGGGATTCCCTACGTCGGAAAGGGAAGACTCAGACTACTGGTCGCCTTGACATCCGAACCCTCGAGTCGAACAAGGCCTGTCTCGAAGTTTAGGGTTTAGGGTTTAGGGTTTAGGGTTTAGGGTTTAGGGTTTAGGGTTTAGGGTTTAGGGTTTAGGGTTTAGGGTTTAGGGTTTAGGGTTTAGGATTTAGGGTTTAGGGTTTAGGGTTTAGGGTTTCCGGCTCTATCAGGGCTTACAGGGATTTTGGGGGCTGATTCAGAGCAAACTCTTGAGGAGTTTACTGACGAACAAACTATGAAGCCGTGCCGCCATCTCCCCTAAACCCTAAACCCCAAACCCCAAACCCTAAACCCTAAACCCTAAACCCTAAACCCCAAACCCCAAACCCTAAACCCTAAACCCTAAACCCACCCCAAACCGGCACACAGGTGCTTCCCGTCCTGGGCCAGATCCTTGGGCGCGACGCCGTGGCCCTCCAAGAGGGCCATGAGCTCACGCGTCTCCTAGGGATGTATCGGGGTTTAGGGGGTTTAGGGTTTGGGGTTTAGGGTTTAGGGTTTAGGGTTTGGGGCTTAGGGTTTAGGGTTTTAGGGTTTTAGGTTTGGGGTTTTAGGGTTTTAGGGTTTTAGGGTTTGGGGTTTCGGGTTTAGGGTTTTAGGGTTTAGGGTTTGGGGTTTGGGGTTTAGGGTTCAGGGTTCAGGGTTTAGGGTTTAAAACCAGATGTGTAACAAGTCTAGGGTTTAGGGGTTCAGGGTTAGGGCTGAGGGTTCAAACCCAGATGCGTAACAAGTTGCGGATTCCAGGCTTTGGGGTTGTGGGGTTTGGGGTTCAGGTGTCTGTGTCTCGGGGAGAACTAGGGGTCGATTGCTTTTTTTGGGGAGGAGGTGGGGGGGGGGGGGGGGGGGGGGGGGTGAGGCGGGGAAAGGGGATATATAATTTTGGGGAAACTGTTCGAGGGTTGGGTTTTTATATACCTGGATCCCCAGTTGCCGACTACTCGGTAGATTCTGCCCTCGAACTATAGCATAACCTGATTTCGGAAAGCCAGGGCCCAAGGTTTAGAGTTTCGGGTTGAGGGTTTGGGGCTTGGAGCCGAAATGGGATTGGGGCTTGCGAGGTGCTGGGCGCAGCTGTCCCCATGGATCTGGGGTCAACCTCTCATTTTTTGAGGCTTCGGGGTTCTTGCGTTACAGGGCTTCCTACACACTGGAGTCCCCGAAGTAAAAGCTCTCCAAACCTTGCAGTAGAGGCCCTAAACACCCTCAAATCCGAAAGCCGACACCCAAAACCCCGAAAGCCTAAACCCTACATCCTAAACCCTAAACCCTCAGCCCACTGTAAACCCCCAAACTCAACACCCCCGAAACCCTAAACCCCCCAATCCAATCCCCCCCCCCGCCCCACTCGAACCCGAGGCTCCTCCCTAAAACCTACACCTCGAACCCCAAAACTTGGGATGTTTCCCCTTACACTAACAGTCCTTAATAAAGATTCTCATGGGGGGGGACTAGGACTGTTAGTACCAAGGGGAACATCCCAACCTGAACCCCAAAACCCAAAACCCAAAACCCCAAACCCCAAACCCTCAACCCCAAACCCCAAACCCCAAACCCTAAACCCCAAACCCTAAACCCTAAACCCCAAACCCCAAACCCTAAACCCTAAACCCCAAACCCTAAACCCTAAACCCCACACTCCTCCCGCGTGGCGGCCCCCCGGCGCAGGAGCTCGGAGGCGAAGCAGCGGGCCGCGCGCAGCGCCACCCGGTGCAGAGCTGGGCCTGCGGCTGAGGGCTTTTTGGGGGTTTAGGGTTTAGGGTTTAGGGTTTAGGGTTTAGGGTTTGGGGTTTGGGGTTTAGGGTTTAGGGTTTAGGGTTTAGGGTTTAGGGTTTAGGGTTCAGCATCTCAAGTTCGAGCATTTACTAGGCCAGCAGTATGTGTAGGCAACGGAACAAAACCCACCCGCCCAAAGAATCCCATAACATTACGAAAATAGAAAGTTTATTTACTTCTTATTCCTGCTGAACCATGGAGGGTTAGAAAGGTCAAATCTCAAGAGAGCGGTCAAAATGGATCAAATTCTCCAATTCGTGCCGAACAATGGGGGGTCAAACGGGTCGGAAGGGTCGAAATGGATCAAATTCTCCAATTCGTGCCGAACAATGGGGGGTCAAAGGGGGCGAAGGGGTCGAAATGGATCAAATTCTCCAATTCGTGCTGAACAATGCGGGGGTTTGCATGGTAACAGGAATCGAAATGAATCAAATTCTCCAATTCGTCAATTCGTGCCGAACAATGGGGGGTCAAAGGGGGTGAAGGGGTCGAAATGGATCAAATTCTCCAATTCGTGCTGAACAATGCGGGGGTTTGCATGGTAACAGGAATCGAAATGAATCAAATTCTCCAATTCGTGCCGAACAATCGGGGGTCAAAGGGGGCGAAGGGGTCGAAATGGATCAAATTCTCCAATTCGTCAATGGGGGGGGGGGGGGGGGGGGTGAAATAAAAAGAAATTGATCAAATTCTCCAATTCGTGTTTAACATTTATGTTTATATGGTAAGAGAGGTTTAGGGTTTAGGGTTTAGGGTTTAGGGTTTAGGGTTTAGGGTTTAGGGTTTAGGGTTTAGGGTTTAGGGTTTAGGGTTTAGGGTTTAGGGTTTAGGGTTTAGGGTTTAGGGTTTGGGGTTTAGAGTTTAGGGTTTAGACTTTAGGGTGAGTTGAGGGGGCCTAGCGAGGGCTTGGGGACTCTAGGAGCTTTGGGGTTTGTAGGGGCGTTTGCGGGGAGTTTGGGCCGTTGAGGGGGTTTCCAAAATCCCGCCCTTCAGTATGAAACCAAACTCAAACCTCCCCAGGAGCCTGCACCCCACCCCTCCCGCAACGAAACTTCGACCTTAAACTCCCCCATAAACTCCTCCAGCCCCCTAGGCCCTTGCGGCTCTCGGGCGCAACCCAGAGACTCCAAAACCCCTTAATTAAGGAATATACCCTAAATCATACTAGGGGTCCTATTATAATTTAAGGGATATACCTTAATTAAGGGGTTTTGGAGTCTCTGGGAACTCTCTCCTTCGGTTTCACGTTTAGGGCTTCTGGTTTAGGATGTTCCCCCTTAGACTAACAGCCCTTAATACTTAATACGCATGGAAGAAAAAAGGGTACTGTAATGAATCCCCAACTAAGGAGTGCAAGTATAAGGGAGAACATCCCAACTTATGGTTTAGGGGTACGCTTGGGGGAAGGAAATGCCATGCTAGGATAGGAGATGTTGAGGCAGGATTCGGTTCTCAGGGAGTGGAACTGTGAAGTTTCAGGGCCTAGGGGCAAACTCCAAACCCTAAACCCGAAACCCTAAACCCTAAACCCTAAACCCTAAACCCTAAACCCTAAACCCTAAACCCTAAACTTGCTTGGGCACTGTGAAGTTTCATGGCCTAGGGGCTTGGGAGCCCCTCCCGAACCACCTCCCAAAAAAAGACAGCTACACTTTCAACTCCAAACCTTAAACTCGAAACCGCAAACCCTGGACCCCAAGACCACCCGAAGCCCTCCAAGAACCCCAAAACCCCAAACATCCCTGAACCCTAAACCCTAAACCCTAAACCCTAAACCCTAAACCCTCTAGAACCCTCCACCCACCCAGGCCGCCTAAGCCCGCAGCCCCGGCGTGGGGTGGCGAGGCGTCGGCCCGGGCGCCCAGGAACTTCTGAGATTCGAGGAGCCTCTGAGATGGGGGGGGGGGGGGGGGGGGGGGTTTAAGGGTTTAAGTGCTTTATGGGTTTAGTTAGGGGCTTTGGGGTTTTTGGGTTTCAGGGTGTAGCGATTGCGCAACACACCATGCACAGGAGGACTCTGCCTCGTCGGCAAGCATTCAACAAGATGCCTGCTGCACACCGGCACAAACCCTGAACCCTAAACTCAAAACGCAAGCCCTGGGCTGAGCTCCAAGGCTTCCGCAGGCAACTCTGGCGGAAACCGCACCATGCCCCAAACAAAAATTCTCCGGGACGACCGGGAGGAGAAAGAAGAAAGACAGAGAGAGAAAGAGAGATAGAGAGAGAGAGAGAGAGAAAAAAAAACAAGGCAACACAGCGAGAGAAAGAAAGAAAGAAAGAAAGAAAAGAAAGAAAGAAAGAAAGAAAGGAAGAAAGGAACAATGAGAGAGAGAGAGAAGAAACAAAAAGAGAGAGATTATATAACAAAAACGTTTTAGGGGCTTTAGACATTTTTAGGTTCAACTGTTTCAGGGTTCAAGGGTCTTAGGTTTCAAAGGTTTGGGGTTTTGGGAGTTGGGCTTAGGAGAGCTTTGAGGGTACTCCCTTGTGTTTAGGGTTTGGGCTGAGGACGTAGGGTGCAGAGTTTAAGGGTTAAGGGTTAGGGTTTGGGGGGATGGGCAGGCACTTCCCTGGGTCAAATCGTTCTGTGTTTGCAAGAAGCAGCTTGTAGTCGTCGTCCGATTGGTTCGGTTCGGCAAGCAGCGGGGCAGCATGCTTGCGCACGACACTTCATTTCTTGGACGCCGCATTGCCCGGCTTGTCAGCGAAAGAATCAGTCGAAGATTCCGCCAATGTCGTCTTGATCATGATTTG